CCCGCCCCGCCAGCCGGTCCCGGGGCCGCCCCAGGCGGGGGCTGGGGCTGAGGGTGCCGCAGAGGCCGCACCGGGCCTGTGGCCATCGGGGCCTCTCAGCGCCTGATGCAACCGGCCGGTGGTGTTGCCAGCGCTAGAGCCGCCCCGCACCCTAGCCCCGCCCGGCACCAGCGAGGGCTCGGACAGACGGACAGACACACACCTGGGCCCCGGCACCCAGGAGAGATGGACGGACAGGACAGACAGCCAGGCACCTGGGACCAACCCACACAGGACAGACAAACATCCAGTGTCCCCATAGCCGGGACAGACAGACACCTGACAGCCATATTGCCCACAACAGATGGATGCCCAGGACAGGCAGGCGCCCAGACAGACGGACAGAGGCAGCCCAGTACCCAGGACAGACGGACAGCTGGGACCCATATGGCCGAGGACCTGGGGCCCACAAACCCCAGACAAACAGACAGATATCTGGGACCCACACCCCCAGGACAGACAGGTCGCCCGTGCCTGGGGACAAACAGACAGACAGACACCCAGCTCTCACATACACCACGGACACCAGACCCCCATATGCTCAGGGCAGACAGACAGACAGACAGCCGGCCCGGGAACGGGTCGGCACCGGGACCCAGCAGAGCCATGTGGGGCCGGGGGGGGAGGGTGGAGCCCTGGGGGTAGGCCACGCCCCCTCCCGTCGTCCATTTGCATAGGGGCGGGTGGGATTTGCATCTCGCGCGCGCCCACTGCCCCCTCCCCAACCACAGAACAGGCCCGTTTTTGTAAAAAATGGTTTATCCCACTGTATAAAAGGCGGGGGAGCCCCCAGCCCCCCGCCGCCCCCCGCCAGGGTACAGCTTCCCCTACAGCCCAGAACCACCTCCTCACTACAGTCGATTCCTCTATTTGCTTCCTTTAAACTATTCCTTAAAAAAACCCCAAAAATCCACGTATTCCCGCGATTTCTTGTCCCAGGTACGCCACTGTTGGTTTTTTGTTGGTTGGTTGTTGGTTTTTTTCCCCTCTCTCTATGCTGTTTTTTGTTGTCCTTTCTTGCCAATGAGGGATTTGTGGATGTGGGGAATTACACCTGCAGAGAGAAGAGGGGGATTCCCATCAGATATGTAAAAATGTCCCAAAAAACTCCAAGAAATCCTTCGTTCCCAGTGGAATTCTGTGATAACCCAGTGTGAAGGTTTCCTCCCACTCAATGGATCACCCCCCCTCCCCCAGTTGCTCCAGTTGGGAAGCAGTGAGCCTCTGGTATTTATCACCATTGTCAAATTCCTGTGTATTTTCCTTATATTTTTCCCCGTCCTCTCGCCAGAATTCCCAGTTTGGGCCAGGAAGGGGACGGCGAGGACGATACCCACCCCCACCAGCGATGGTGGCTTTGATGAGTGAATCCAGCTCCTCATCCCCGCGGATGGCCAGCTGCAAGTGGCGAGGAGTGATCCGCTTCACCTTCAGATCTTTGGAAGCGTTCCCCGCCAGCTCCAGCACCTGCCAGAAAAAGGGGAAAACACTCGGGATCCTGTGGGAAAGGACATTTCTCCCTCCTCAACCCCATGAAGGAAGGGGACCTACCTCTGCGGTGAGGTACTCGAGGATGGCAGCGCTGTAGACGGCAGCGGTGGCGCCCACTCGCCCATGGCTGGTGGTGCGAGTCTTCAAGTGTCTGTGGATGCGGCCTACAGGGAACTGGGGCAGGAGCAATTAACACTTCGTTAACACCAAGAGGGTTTGGGGGCACCCAAGGGGAAGTTCTGCTCAGGAATTCCCCTTTTAGGATGAAATGGGGCCATGGTGCCTCACCTGCAGCCCGGCTCGCTGTGAGCGCGACACGGCCTTGGCCTTGGCCTTCCCACTGTCCTTTCCCGCCTTACCTCCAGCCTGCAAGACAGAAACCCACCTGTTAATTAACCTTAATTAATCCAGAGAGACCTGCTGCGCTGTAATCCAGAGGCAAACATGCTCATCACTGCTGCAGGAAACCTTTCGGCCTCTCAAATCGGGCGAGCTCGAGGGGATGAGGTGGGGTTGATGGGTGGATCCTCCTACTGCTATTCCCATTTTCCAGAAAAGGCCAAATGGGGGGAAACCAGCCCCCCCAAAAAACTTTTTTTTTTTCCCCCCAGCAGCAGCTGTGAGAACAGTTTGATTCCAGACTGGTTTTCTCCACTCTGAAGGCAGGCTGCAGGGCAGGATATGGTGCCCAGGTCTGCGGGATTCAAGGGTAACTCCCCTCCCATTTCAGAGCAGAAAATCATCAGGGAGCCCCAGAAATCTTTAACCCCCCCCAAATTAAGTCTCCCAGCCCGTGATGAGCAGAGAAGAGCCCTATACAGCACCTGCAGAGGAAAAGCAGAGCCCTAATACACACCAGGTACTTTTAATCCCCGTTTTTATACTACGTATCGATCCCAGAATTCCCATCCCCTTCTGGAAAAGGATTAGCGTTTAGCTGAAAGGGAGCTGGAAGCTGCCACCAGCCCCTTCTGCTCATTCAGATCCAGAGATCCCCAGGACACCGAGGTGATGTTAATTGAGCATATTAATCCTTTAACACACAGTTAACACAGCAATATCCAATATCCTGCTCCCATCCCAACAAGGTGGGAGTTACCACCACGCACTTGCGCCAGGCTGGGGAAAAAAAATAAGTCATGAGGGGAAAATATTTAATCTGGAGGCGATAAAGGAAGCGGCACTGGGCGAGGTCAGTGGCAACGGGCGCAGGTGGGTTCCTCCCTGTGGCAGCGCCGGGGCTGCCAGCGGAGATGTGGCTATGGGAACACCAGCAGCCGGCGTTTTGGCAGCCAAGGGCAGGAGGGGCTGTAGAAGTGTTTTGGCTCCCATTCGTTAGGAGGGGAGATGTGTCCAGAAAGGCTTTGAAGCGCCTTCGCCGCGGCAAAGCGTCAGGAGTTACTTTTATCAGTAGAAAACAACACTTAGTAAAACTTCAAAAATCAGCAAAGGGGGATCTGGGGATATTTCCTCACTCTAAAAAGAAAAGACAGCTCTGGGAAAAGCACTGGCTGTTCACACCGAGGACTTTTATCAGCCAGCTGTGAACTTTCCCACTTCTCCGTCAAGTTTTCCAGCCGGCAGCTGCCTGCCTGAGAGTTCTTCACATGATATTTGTCTAAAAAGAGGGAAGAAAAGTCTCACAGCGGAAGCCCTGAGGTTTGTCTCCATCTTTACCAATGCTTAAACCCTCTGTGGGGTTTGCAGAGGAAACGCCGCAACAGCTTCCCACCGCCGAGCCGCTGCCAGCTCCCTGCGGAAGCTCATCCCCCTCCCAGCAGAGAAATGAGGGCTCTTTGCCGAACATCGCCTTCTCAGCATGAAGTTTTCCTCCTCTTCCTCGGGCAGCGTTGCTCGTGAGGGCTCAGTGGGGCCAGAGGCAGCAGCAGCAATTCGCTTCTTCATCCGGAGGGAACCATGCTGATGGGCACAGGAACGGGATGGCTCCTTCCCTTCTCCCCATGGAGGCAGCTCGCTGGGAGCACATTCCCATACCAAAACCTCTCTGGATTTAACACAGCGGATCTCATGCAGCAGGCAAAACACTTTTTTGTTTGTTTGTTTTTCCTTCTCGTTGCTTCAAACAGGACTGAAATACTTCAAAAAGCAACTTTTTATCTATGCGCCACAAGTTATGAGATATTCTTGAAGGTAAGTTTCCTTGCACCGAAGGTTGCATAATCTCGCAGAGCAGTTTCCATGTTAACCCTTAGCGACCGGGGCCGTTCCGGAACCTCCTCATACCCTCAGAGGTCCCGGTTTGAGCTGCCGGATCACAGGAAGGAGACAGCGGGGGAGGATTAAACCCCAAATCTTCCCCCCCCCCAGAATCAGACTTTTCCTCGGGAAACCACCAGCGCGCTCTGCCCAGGCCCACGGAGTGCATGGGGAGAACCAAAACCCTGGAAATTCAATGCTCCCCCGGGATCAGAGGGGACTCCCCCGGGGGCGGCTCCCCCGGGCCGGTTGACAGCCGTCCTTCAGGCCGCTCCCCGCGTTTTCCACCCCTGACAGTCACTTCCTCACTCCACCGCCAACTTTTACAAACATATAAGCGCAGAAAGCAGCCACGACAAGGCGGTTTCGCCGCAACCGATGGAATCAAGGCCGTGACGGTGCCCCCCCCCGGGAAGGCTCTGACAGCGCACGGGGGGTCCCCGCCCCCTCCAAGGGGCCTCGCACCGGGACAGAGTCGGCGGGGGACTCCGGTTACACAACGGCGCGGGGAGGGGAGGCGCCTCGGTCCCGGGGACCCCCCCGGGCAGAGCTGGGCGCGGCCCAAGGTCACCGATCGCTGACAGAGCCCGGCCCCGGTGCCGCCCGCCCGCCCGCCCCTCCCCACCGCGGGCCGGTAGGGAGCCCGGCCTGCCGCGGCAGCGACCGGCCAATCAAGGAGCTCCATAGTCGTTTGAACATCCCGCTACCACCAATCCCAGCGCCGCTTCTTGGCCCCTCGCTAGCTCCGCCCCGCGGCCCGTTTAACGGCTGTTTTTCCTTTGCACACGGCACGCAGGGGTGAGGGCGGGGGGGCGTGGCCGGCGGCTCTGAGCCGGTGGGTGGGGCAGCGGTGACGTGACGCGAATAGAAGGAGCCGAGCGCCCTGCGGGAGGCGGGGCCGAGAAGACAGGCACCTGAGCGAGCCAATGGGAGGAGAGGAGCCTTTCCCGCCCAGTCTTTGTCCCGCCCCCATGTTGTTTGTTTGCACTGAGGGGAGCGGGGTGGGGGGGGATGCGCACCACTGTCATTACCGGCGGGGCCTGAGCCCCCCACGGCGAGACAGAGCCCCTTCAGGGCCCTTCCTGGGTCCCGCCGCGCCCGTCCGCCCGTGGGCCGGGGTGTCCCCGAGCAGCGGGGCCCAGCTCCTGACAGACTCCGGCCTCAGGGCCGATCCGCCGCTCCCCTCTGCCTCCCTGACCCTGTCATCGCCCCCGCGGCTGAGCTGAGGGGCCTGGGGCGCGGCCTGGAAAGGCTTAAAGCCGGTTACAACTCTGGCTGTGCTGCTGCCGCCCCAGCTCGGTGCCCGGAGGAGGTGGCTGCCGGCAGGGGCTGCAGCCCAGCTGAGGGGAAGCCCTCCCCGGGGAGGCTGAGGCCGGGTGGAGGCTGGGGGCAGCGGATCCTTCGATCCCTTCCCTGTGTGTTTTTCAGGAAATAGAGAAATAAAGGTTGGTCCTGCCCCTGAGAGGAGGGTAGTGAGGTGACACAAACTGTCCCTGCCGTGCCGGGGGTGGGGATTGGACTGGGGCTCAGGGCGTGGGAGAGCACTGAGAGGCAAAAGGGACAGCAGGGATAAAATATGGCCAAAATCAGCCCAAAAAATTCCTGCCCTAGGCTGTCACGGGGGGATGGTGTGATGTGTGTGTATCAGGGAACAGCATGTCACGGGAGATGAAGACTGATGCCCTGTGATGAGCCTGTTCCAGCATCAAACTGAACCTGAACTATGTGATAGGGTTAATTTTTGGGGAGACGCTTTGTGTTTTAGAGAGCAAAGGGTGGATGGCAAACAGGAGCCCCTGAACAGGCCCTGGGATGGCAGATGGAGCTCAGTGGAGCAGGTAGGGAGCTCCCGGCCGGTGGCGGGGGGAGGAGGAGGAAGGGACCTCTGCACTGTTATTGTCCCTCCTAGATGTCCTGGCCACCCATCCCGTGCCTCAGTTTCCCTCCAGCACCAGGCAGGGGGCACAGGTCAGCCCCTTCTCCTTACTGCAGCAGCTATAGCAGGGGGCTAAGGGGTGCCCCCCACAGCTGCTCCCACTCCCCCCGGCAGAGAATGCTGCCTGCACCTGCCCCAGTCAGCAACCACCACGGGCACCTGCGGCATGTCCGGGGCCCCCCCAGCTGTCCCTGCTGTTTCCCCCACAGCCCCCCAGCTGTCCCCATGCCCCCCCCAGCTGTCCCCACTGCTCTCCCCACAACCTCCCAGCTCTCTCGGGGGTGGGGGGGGGCTGGAGCAGCTGCCCACCCCATCATCCCGGGGATGGGGACACTGCCAGCAGCTCCTGTACCCTGCCGGGAGGGGGACAGAGCCCCCTAGGGCTGGGGTCAGGCCGGGCCCTGGCTGTGGCGCTGGCGGCAGGGCTGCGGTGCGGCGGCGGCTCATGCGCAGGCGGCTTCGGCTCGTGTCCTCAGATGAGCCCGTGCCCGCAGGGAGCCGCAGAGCTAAATGCGGCGAGGGCTGCGGCGCCTGCGTCACCGTCACCGCACGGAGCGGGGCTGCCAGCCCCCGGCAGGGCACGGGCTGCACGCCACGCACATGGGGTGGTGGGGGAACACGCCATGTGCGCAGCGGTGAACACACCAGGCAGCCGTGTGTACACGCCTCGCACACGCCAGGCAGCCATGTGCATACAGCTCACCAGGCCAGTCTACGCACGCCAGCGTGTCTCCACAAGCCGTGACACACGCGTGTGGCACGCCAAACCCTCCTCCCTCTCCACGGTACCCCGTCCCGTACACCCCCATCTACCCCCCAGTGCCCCCCCGCAGCTGCCTCAGCGCTGGGGACGGTGGCACCCCTGAGGACCCCAGGGACAGCTGGGGACACCCTCAACCTTCCCCCCCCCCCAAAAAAAAGGAGCGAGCTGGGGCCAGGATGGGTTTTTCATTCACTTTTCCGCATACTTTTTATTTGTTACAAACATACAATTCTTTAAATATAGACTTGTAAAACTCCATTTGCAAAAATCTGCTACGGTAAGGAGTGCTCGCTAGCATGAGGAGTTCGTCACGTCGGGCGTTCGTCTTTGCTAGTGGTAAAATCCAGGACCTGCCTTCGGCAACCGCCGGCCGCTCCCCGGCGTCTCCCGAAGCCGCCCCGCCGGCCGCAGAGGAAGGGAGAAGGGGGGGGGACACAGGACCCCCCCCCGAGCGCCGGCAGCCCTGCGCTGGGCCGCCTAAAGTGCATGGTTTGCTTTATTTTTTGTTTTTCTTTCATTAAAAAAATAAGAGGAATAAAACTTTTCTTCTTTCGTCAAGGTACTTTCGGGGTGAACGTTTTGGTCTCTCAGCAGATGCCGGCCGAAGCCACTCTCCTCCTCCTCCTCCTCCTCCTCCCCGTGGCGGAGGATCCGGTGCTCGCCCCACACCGATGTTTTACCAAAATGTCCAGCACGTTCCCGCCTCCAGGAGAGCCGCGGCGCCGGAATCCTGCCTCCCGCCCACCGCCGGCACGGCCATTTCGAGGCCTCGACGCCACCGGTGACCCCCGGAGAGCGACGCCGCCGCGGGGCTCCCGGCTCCGGCCCAGCTCCGCCACGTCTCTTCCCCGCTCCTTCCTCTCCCGTCTCGGCTCCATCCCGGCGCCCGGATCGGGGATCTCACGCCGACGCGCCCAACGCCCGGCACAGGTGCCGCCGGCTCAACCGGCTCTGCGAGGAAGAGGAGGGCGACAGCGCCCGCGGCCCAGCCTCGCCCCACCAGGAACATCTCTCCCGGCACCCGCCGAGCCGCCCGGACCGTTCCCGTTTCCCACCGAGAACCCGCTCCCGGTGGCGAGTATCTGCTGAGAGATCCCTTGTGCATCAGCTCAAGTACCGTCATCGCTCGCTCACGCTTCTTTTTTTTTTGTGTGTGTGTTTTTCTATTTTTTTTCTATTTTTTTTTTTTTTTTTTTTTTTTTTCTTTTTTAAAAGAGAAGCCGGCGAGGGGTTGGGTTTTTATCTGACGCTCTCCCCAGCAGGCAGCCCTGGGGACTGGTCACCTCCCCCTGCACTGTCCCCCGACAGCAGCGAGGGACCACCAGGGATTCTCCTGCCCGTTACCCCAAAACGCCTGGAAACGAGGCAGGATAATTCCCATTTTCTTCCACATTTTTCTATTTCAGGGAAAAAAAAAAGCGGTTTTAACTTTTAACGGAGCCTCCGACAGCTCCTGGCCTGGACACCTTGGGGTATTTACATCAATTTTGGGGCGCTATACAAGATTTACAAGATTTCCTTATTATTATTTTTTTTTTTTGTACAGCGATAGTCGCGCTGTCTCAAATCGTCCCTTTTGGGGCAACAGAAATCTGGAAGCTCCAAGAATTTGGGATATTTTTTTGTCCCCCTTCCGGTTAAAAAGAAGAAGAAAAAAAAAAAAAAGAAAAAAAAGGCAATTTGCCTGTTTTCTACAGAATCCAAACCGAAAAGAAAGCCCCACCCCAACCAAATCTCATATATATACACACACACACACAGATGTGTATATACATATATATATATATATATAGGGAATAACCAAACCCTCTGACCTGCCCCACGCCCCGGCCGCAGGGAGGTGTTTTCGGTGACGACGAGGCCCAGTCCGTGGCAAGATGTTGGTGCCGGCAGAACTCGGCTCCGGCGAAACCGTTGTCCCACTTTCCTTGGGAAAGACTCAGCAGCCACCGGCTGAGCCAACTAGGAAAAAAAGAAACCAAAAAACCC